GGTTGCCCAGAGAGGTAGTGGAGGCCCCATCCCTGGAAACATTCAAAGCCAGGTTGGACGGGGCTCTGAGCAACCTGATCTAGTTAGCGGTGTCCCTGCTCATTGCAGGGGGTTTGGACTAGATGACTTCTAGGAGTTCCTTCCAAGCCAAAACATTCTATGATTCTATCCTATGATTCTAGGATAAAGGCAAAGCATGTCCTCCCAATTTTCTACTTCCTTTAACTGTCCAAATTCAGAGGAATTAAAGTAGCACAAGTGTATCTTGTTCCTGCCCTTCCTAATTTCCCAGCATCTTGGGGACAAGGAATTGGAGAAAGTAAGTCTGCCTTTCAGCTATACACTAAAAGGCAGGGTGAGATACATGAGCAGCAAACATACTGTTGTATTCTAATTGCTCATAAACATGTGAGCAGTTATAAACATATGGAGAACCTGGCCTACAAGGAAAGACTGAGTGAGTTAGGTCTTTCCTCCCTGGAGAAGAACCTGGCCTATGAGGAAAGACTGAGCGAGTTAGGTCTTTTCTCCCTGGAGAAGAGAAGGCTCAGGGAGGACCTCAACACAGTAGTCTGAAGGGTGGCCACAAAGCGGACAGGGACTCTCTCTTCACAAAAAGCCACACAGTGAAGACAAAGGGCAACAGGTACAAGTTGCATTGGGAGAGGTTTCATCTTGATAGAAGAAATTTTTTACAGTGAGAACAACCATTCACTGAAACAACCTCCACAGTGACATAGTGGAGTCCCCATCATGGAAGATTTTCAAGGTGGGATTGAACAGGGTGCTAGATAATATCATCTAGGCCTCCTCTATGACAAAAGATTGGCCCAGATGATCTTTCAAGGTCCCTTCCAACCTGGGCTGTTCTGTGGTATCAATGTAATTTGTGCTAATCGCAATTTGTTAAAATAAAGTTTACGTTGCTCTTCCACAGTTGGATCAACTAAATGACATAAGCTCAAAATTTTTACCTCAGACTGAATTTCACTAAATTTAAAATATCCTCAGTCTTAAAGACCATTCCTAAGTTCAGAGACTACAGTGAGAACACTCCAATTGCCTTATCCCAGACTGCCAGTTCTAAGCAAAACCTGCTTCCTGATCTGACTGCTGAGTCACACAAAGTAAAGGCTGGGGCAAACGACCTTCAGCAGCAATCCTGGCTTGGCATATTTAAAAATTCTATCTTCTATATCTAAACTTCTTCCAACTTCTACATCTTAAACAAGTTTATAAAGGCATCATCTTCATTAAACCAGGAGTGCTTTACAGAAACTTGATACCCAACATCAATTTTTTGGTTTTGTCTTGTGGTTTTTGCCTTTTTTTTTAAAAATGGACCTAAGTTTCTGTTCAACAACTTTATCTGACCTTTTCTTATTTTCAACACAACTGTCAGACAGGACCTTGCTAAAACTGCTCAACATTGCAGTTAACACTTATTTTCATTACTGTTCATGTTTAGCACAGCCTGTTTTAGAAATGCTTGTGAGGTAACACCTATGGACTCACTACAATTTATATCCTATATTCAACACGTAACTGCAGTAAATAAAGGAAGGTTGAGAGTCAAAAGGGAAGTCTACTCATTATGCTAACCATATAATTTGATGTCACTTACTCCACGGGGGACACATGAAAATACCACAATGATAATACTGTGGCTTTTATCTCCTGAACCGTTCAAGTGATCAACTCCCCCAAACGTCAATAAAATCAAGTGACTTTCACATACCAAATGAACCTACACTTGGACTGAAGTCAGACGACGGGCCATTTGGTCTTTCAGAGAAGCTAGCCTACAAAAAGAAAAAAAGGCACAACACCATGTTAACTCCAGGCCAAGCAAAGTACATAAATATAAAGCAGTTGCTGTCTTGCACTTGAAAGAAGTTGCCATGTGCACCTTCTGAAATGCAGTCTCTCAAATTCTTCCATTCACTTCAGTTTATTATGCTTCAGTATACTAAACGGCATACTGTTTGCATCTGAATGTCAGCAAAACCACATTATACACAGCTGACACATGGAGTTAAGTAAGTTTATTTTGCCTCTGTCACTGATTTATGGAGGCATCAGCTTTGTCACCTTGCCAACAAACATTTTAACCCTTGAATATAATAAACGTTTATTTTTCAAATCAATACTATAATCTTTTGAAGTATTTTTATTTTCCAATCTTTCAGACTGTATTGTGAATAAAAACCTGGTTTCATCAGTTTTATAACTGCATTTCTGGACTTTTACTAGAGGATGCTTAGAGATTATCTTAAAAGGAAATACCAAAATATGTCAGTCTCTATTCATTTATTCAAAGATTCAGATACTCCATTTGAAACAATTCAGAACACCACCTAATTTTCACATCTTACACTTATGGTCAGTTTTATTTCCAGCAAAGAACACATTTAACTTTTTCCTGTTTAACGCAAGCCAGACACGTACTAGTAAGCCAGACCACAAGCTGACTGAGGCATATCACTACCAAACCTTTTACTTCAAGACTGTGCTTTTTAGGTATTACTACAGCTTTCACACTTCTCAATGAGGCTAGCAACACTACAGGAAATTAAACCCAAACAGGTAAAATTACTATTCTGAAAGCGTATGCTGTAATTTCTTCTTTTGGCAACCTTACTTTTAGACTTATACCTCCATCTGGATAAGCCATTTGCCTCTCCTCTTCCTCCCTGCTCCTCAAAGCTGAATTTAAACGTCTATTAGGACCAACGCTAACAATCAAAGACTCCTTACAGATTCTCTTCAAATTTATTGCAGTTTCTTCTGATACCAATATTCATCCAACATCAGAAGCAGCAAAACATTATTCTTTAGCTGTCTCTCATTACACTCCTGTATCTTATCCTTTATTTCACACCAAGGCATTTTGCTATGTGAAAAACAGCAAAATTGAATAAGAACAATTTCTACACAAGACTTGGCTCAGTACTAGGCCTGACAGTAGGTGCCTCATCACCCTAGTTCTGCTATGAACTCAGAACTGTATTTAAGAATTCTTCTCACCTGCTGCCAAACTCTTGAGACCATTAAGCTGCACATGGTTTAACAACTTAAATGTACTGCACCCTAATTGTAGCTTTTCTCCTGCCAGGAATGTAACTCAAGAGTAACTTCTACAAGCACTCTTGCCCAGTTTAAGTGAGCTGGGTTTGCAAACACTGTAGTAGCCCAGCTCACTCAGAAGGCAGGGGGGACAAAAAAGAGTAGAGGCAACTTACAGAAGCAATTAAAGAGAAGATCTGAGAGGATGCAACAGCTCCACCTATTTCTGGATGTATCCACAGCTTCCCAAGAGGTTGGGAAACAAGACTAGGGACTATCCAGATTTGGAAACACAGCTGCTACATAATCCCAGACAATATCCACAGATTCTTTGCTTTTCTTCCCTAAAAAGCTGGGTATTAAAAACACTTTCAAAACACACAGCAAAACGATTTAATCCCTTTACAGAATACAGTGACCATGATAACTTATTTTAGAAAACTACCACCATGATGAGACCCACTTACACAAACGAAGCTACAAATGCAATGAAGTCAATTTGGTTTCTATACACACGTAAGCCTGCTCAAAAAGTCAGATTCCCATTTTCTAAGACTGCAGTTTTCGAAGCAAATGAGTCAGTGTAACAGCTCACTGCTATCAAGAAAAGATGAGGTTCCATTTATTTTCTCTTTACCAGCTTTGGTGGTCAAGGCCATCTAAGCCACTCCTCCAACACTGAAGAGTAGTCTTCAGGTCAGAAAATTACAGGACCTCACAAAAGTATACAGCAAGCACTGATATCTGAACAAAACAGCAGCAAGCAAACCACTGGTGGGTAGGAAACCTCCTCTCTTCAGTAACAGCAAACTCCTTCAGCAGCCTACCATATTTGCAAAAACATACTGTAAATGGTATTCAAAGTCCTATCTATAATCCTCAAACAGGTACACTCACTCCTTGCCCTTCCTACAGCAGCAGCATTTAAGACCATAAAGTTGGGAACAACCTGAAGAGCAGTATTAACTGCAGAATGAGGACCAGCTGAGGGAGTCACCCATGTTCTATTTGTTGCTGTGGTAAAAAGAAATAGCAATTCAGTGACTGCAAACAGAAAGAAACAGCAAATAGAATAGCTAAAAGGACATCAATGACACAGAGAGAAACTAAGTCCACATCTAACCCACAGCCAAGAACTACCACCAAAAGCACGGCTCTGCTGGTCCCCAATAATGCAGTTCTACCACTGCTCCTTCAAGATTCTACAGGCAGTAATAAGGACCATCAATCCAATCAATTTGTGCAAGAAATTGCAGCCTACTAACATCCAAAACCCAGTTTATCTTACAGCTTCAGAAACACTAGATCTGACATACATAAGGGAACAGGAATGCATTAGAATGGCAAAAGGGCAAGCAACAGGAACCACCCCTTTTAGTAGCTACAAAACTTTACTTGAATAGCCCTTACCACAACTGACCCACAATCTTAAGTTTCTACCCTACATAACTTTTTCCTACTTCCCTTCCAGCCTTTGCTGGTCCACGAGCCTATCCACACAGGTACTCAATGCCTAATCCATGTATCTTAATTAATGAGTTAAGAGTATGTGCCACTTTTACACCACATACTTTTCCATTGAGTACACATCCTCTCACAACCTCGTGTAAGAAGGCAGCATTAAGCAGCTGGAAGAGTTAATACTAATTGGGTACACTGACCGTGCCCCAAGAGTCTCCAGGAAAGCAAGGCTCTTCAGCATTTTGAGAGACTAAAATTGCTACTCTTTGCTAAGAAAACATTATCTTTTCAACACACAAGTTATGGGCAAGTTCCTCCAGGTGCTTTAGGAATCACCGGAACAGGGGAACCACAGACTGCCAGCCACCTAGGCAGCAGGGCTGGGAGGAAGGGGAAGAGGAGCAAATGTGCTACAGCCCAACAGCTGCGACCCATACCTGCTCAAGGGTTGGCAGGATTACTGATGCCTCATCCCCCATCTCTGCATTCCAGTCCTCTTGGTTCATGCTGAGCCCCGCCAGATCTGCTTGCAGGAGAAGGAACAGGTTAGCAACGACCCCCTGCCTGACCCCCAGCAGGTCCCACGGCACCCACGTGGGGGACGCTACTGACCCTGCCTGTCTGAGCGCTCACGGTACTCATCGCGACCCCCACTCCGTCGCGGCCGAGCGTGTCCTCTCAGGGCAGAGCCTCCCGCTTCCGTGAGAGAGGCGCCCAGCCCCTCTCCCACCTCTCTCCCGCTCCATGGACGGCCCCACATCGGAAACAAATGGCGCCCTTCACCGAGGCCTCTAATAACGCCGCCGCCGCGGGCAG